AAAACGGACAAGACTGCATGCGTACAAGACAATGTCAGGGCTGAAAATTTGATCATAGATTAAATTAAAATCAACCCACGATCAGTAGGAAGAAAATCTACAGTTTATCGTTAAAAGGATATTTTGGTTAGTGGGTTATCGAGTACGTTCTCTTGCGAAAAACGATGACCAAACTTTGCTGTTATTCACTAGCTATTTCTAAAACTCCAAGAGTCTTGAACTCAAATGATTGCATAATATTTCACATCTATGTATCAAATGACATCATATCATTAATCAGGCGCTAATCTAGTGGATCGAAAGATCCATCCAAACACTTCGCCAGCATAGTTATCAGCCAACACACAATCATAGACAATCGGATAACGCTCGTTGTATAAGTGACATATACAGTAATCAGTTACATAATCATGGTTTAGTGCCTGTGCAACGAATAGCATATTATAGAATTCGAAGAGATTACATTCTTTATAGACATTACACGCGATTGTTTGTTCGTACGTACATATATACTGTGTACCCAATGTACCACTGTACACATATACGCAGGACTTGCAAGACGTATAGCTACAACAAAATAATAGAAAAAGCAAACTCGACGTACGTTCTTCCCATGCGAGGTTATTAACATTAACGTTGATTTTTGTAAGGAATTTCACGTGACATGTGTTATAGATCTTTTTCTGTTAATCAAGCTAATGATAAATTGGAAATAAAAGTTACGGTTTCCAAAAATTTTAAGATTAATTAAATCTTTGAGCTTGACCATACATAGAAATATGGCTTATAAAATATCCCAAACAAATAGATATGTAGGATGAACGAGGTATCATTCCATAAATGACAACCATGATCACAAGCTTTTTCTATTAATATTAACACAGATACAACCATACATGCATATATCCATTTTCTAAAATCTATGCATAAAGTCTCATCAAAAGACATTTTGATTCGACTGTTCAAGAACGTGACTTTTTTCATGAAACAAAAAAGCGAGATGTAAACGCGCGCGCACGATTTATGATCTTTTCACATCATTCAAAACCTTGATTTGCAGCTCTAGAGGTCCACCTTAGCTGTGCTTAATAAAGGACACACAAAATCAAAACCTTGGTTTTTGCAAAGCACCATTTTCTGGAGCTCTTTCTAACAGGACGCATAAAGAGTATGTGAGGAAACAAACAATTTAATTAAAGCGTGGCAATGCGAAGCAACGCATACAAGGATAAATGCGTAAAGCGGCAAGATATAACGCACGGTTTACTAGGAAGATGGTAAAAGTGCTGCTAAAACACGTGTTTTGGAGCGTAGAGAATTTCACAGGAATACCATTTTATCATATAGCAATATATGCTATGTATGTGATGGCAAACTGGTGCTTTCTCTTTTTCTTGGTGGGAGACTTGACCTGTGTATCTATATTATCAGCTACCCAGTACAAATTAAAATAGGCACAGAATGGTAAAGGTTAAAGGAAACCCTTATTTTCAACAACAAATGCTCGCCATTTTATTTGTATAGATTGCTGCTTATCAAGATGCATTGCTTCGGTTGACCGAAACTCTCAAAACCGATGCAGAACTAGAAATTCTACCGTAGCGTGAGTCAGTCTTCCAATTTCTCGGTTGCCAACTTAAAATAAAAAAATCAAGCCGAGTTTGAGAAATATTTTTCTATAATAGACCGCCTCAGTTGAGTACAAAAGTTTTTTGGAATCGTTCGCGCCATTCAACTTTGATAACATTCGCGTCTGCTAAATTCACAACAAACTGGTTTATTATAATTTCGCATACTTTGGCACAGTGTTGTATCAATATTAAAATTTGATATCTGATCTCGCATATATGACAATGAGCAGAAGCATTTTCTGTGCGCGTCAATACAAAAGCAGTTATCGTCGTAAAACTATATAAAAAACTTAATACAAGAGCACGACTCCAACATTATGGCTAGGCAGAGCAGACAGTATCGGATATATTGCATCAATAAAAACTCATTTGCTTTAATAAATATCTCACATCATAAAACCCAAAGCCAAGCTTAAGTAGATAGCACAAATATTAAATGTTAAACGTTTAATGCACGCTATTTTATTCGCAAATAACTTCCTATTTCCTCACGTCAAATATCATTCGCCGGCCGTGTCTTTGAATTGCATTGACATCTCCCAACTGTTTTTCGGTTTAGGCAAATCTCCAGTAGAGAAGAGCCTACTAGAGTATTTACTCTCCTTTTCGAGTTGTGACAGGGGCCTTACTTCATTATGATAAATGGTACTCCAAGAATTATCCTCGTACGCCTGCATAATAAGTCTGTTAATATACACCCAAAGTTCCCATGCACTTGGACGCTTGCCAGGATCGGCATCACAACACCACTCGGTAATTTTTTTATAACCGGTCGGCGCCGAATCAGGCATCGTTGGCCGTAGTCCGCTCAAAATGTCGCATACCAGATATCTATCGAACTGTCTATCTCTAAAAGGCGGTTCACCAGTAGCCACCAAATGCGCAATAATGCCAAAGAATACATGTCTGATTCCTTTGCGAATTTGGCGGTATTAAAGACTTCCGGCGCAATAAAGGGTAAGACGCCTCGAACGGCTGAATTTGACTCGCGTGAATTCACTGATCGTGAGAGACCAAGATCGCATATATATACGTTACATGGTAGAACTGTTCTTCTGTTTCGACATGCACGATAATGTTTCCGCTATGAAGGTCGCAATGCACTAATTCGGCAAGGTGAATTCCATTCAGATGAGATAGAATATCCTTTAAGCACTGCAATTTCATTTTCCATGTCAACTTGTTGATATTTTGATCCAGATAAGACAAAAGACTACCGCGGTTAGCATATTGCATAACGATCATGTAATCGTTTGTTTCTGGGTCTTGTGTAAGTCCATACATTTTAAGGAAACTCGTATAACGCGAGCAGTTGAAGTGATTTCTAAACTGTAAATACAGAGTTCAGATTAGTACATAACTGTTATTTAATAATATCGAAAAGTTTTGTTTACCTCGGAAATGAATACCCGATCACAACCATTAGAGCGTTTGAGAACAACAGTTTCGGGAATGTAATATTCCCGGTTGTTTTTGCACCTGGCAGTATAGACCGTTCCATAACCACCAATCCCAATCTGCTCAAGTTCATCAAAGTTGGTAGTTTATATAAAACGTTAGTTTGTATAAATCTGTCCAATAGTGCATGTACGCTGTAGTAGAGCACCAAGTAATATTCTTTTGTAGTCGGTTCTTGAGTTATGCCAATGATCCAGTAATTATCTGGTGTTAATATTTCCGGATATTCTTCAGTTAACTATTACCAGTATAGGAAACGATATCATAAATAGTCATTACAACAGTCATCAACATAAAATACAAACGTATAATATCAAATCAACCCACCTGATAAAAATCAAACCTCCGAACATCATCTTTGCCGACTATCTTTTTGAGCGTCACTCTTTTCGTTATCAGTTCTATTCTATTTGCTACATGTGTGCATCCATGGCGTAATAAAGTCATCTCTCGCAGGTTTGTCAATCGCGAATATTCTATCCATTGTATGTAATTATCATTTACACTATTGGTGTTGCTCCACGACTCCATGATAAACGAATCCAAAGACTCGTTACCCGTAGTCCAATCGGGAGGTGCTGGTGCTTTACATTCGAAGCAGAACGCATTTATCTTGGGTTCTAATGGCAACGTACAAGCCAGACATAATCCCTTCTCATCTCGATCTTTTATTAGATAATATTTCTGTTCATTTGCATTGTATGCAAATCCAATAGTAACCCAAACGCGAATTTCTGGTTGATCATCACATATCTATGAAATCATTACGAGTCAACGAACGATAATCTAACAAACAATAATTCACAATTGAATAATACCTTGCTATAATATGTCTCATCTGTTAATTCGAGTGGGATTAATTTTACTGCACTTTTAGTAGGTAGACCGTCTAAAGACGCTTGATTAATACAATCATATGGAATCCATTCTAAATAGGCCTCGTTTGCCGAATTGGTTTGCACTTGCGATTTCTTGACATGCTCATCGAGCCTCATATTGACGCCAGGCAATTTATCGGATAATTCTTTATGTCCACACGCGCACCATACAGGACTACACCTGAGTATTCCACACGCAGAACAGAATCCAATCGATAATAACAGTGGTAAAAACGATCATGAGCAACCATATAATAGTTATCTTCATATTTGGTAAATCCCTTTATCATGCTATTGCGATGGAAAAGCCATGTGGAATGTCTTCTGAACCGATTATTGCAAGTGTCGTATTTGTGCGTTGGGAGCGAGTAGCTTTTAGCAAACTCGCTAACAAACGCTGGGGTGCATATTTCATTGTTTCCGAGAAACAGCATCATTACCATTGTTTCATCAATTTTACCAAACAGCGTGTCCTTGGGAACATACTGGATAACATCCACTGGACTTGACTTTATGTCGGAAATTTCCGAGCAAGGAACCCATGCAAGTTTATTATATTCACTTTCTAAGGAGGATCGAATCACGTCGTGTATAGCAGGATTGTGAGTATCTTTAAACGACATGTTTAATAAAGAGGAAAAAAGGGTATTTTGACATTCATCGCCCGTCTCGGTTTTAATGAATGTGGCGTATGCCTTTGTTCAGCTGCAAGCGGTGATTATGGTCAAAAAATGACATTATTTTTCATTATAGTCAATATTCCGACACCTTTATGGTCGCACGGCATATTTCTGCTTATTCTTAAAATTAAAACCGTTTATCGGCATCAGGTATTCGTATCACCGATCCTGAAGGATCAGTAAATATAAAACGTTTGTTGAAGTATCGTAGGTTTGATTACCTAGATTCACATGAAATCATTTGACTCGTGTATGTCACAACTGTTATGGTGGATGTCTAATTAAATATTTATTGAATAACAATAATCTACAATATATTTGCCCTAATCCATTTTACAATGTTCCTTCTCTTTTTACACGTTATCATCAGTCGCAGCAACTGCAACATACCCTCCACTTCTCCTATTAACAGACCTCTCAATAAGAGGTACATCGTATAGTCCATACCAATCAACATGTTGCAGCATCCCACCATTGCCCTGAGTCCAAAAGTCTGCGCAATTATTCCAGCAACCAAAGTCAAATGGGTTATTGTTCTCTGGTACACGATATCTGCGTTTTCTAGACCTTCCAACGAATAGCTTGAGACAACCATTGTTAAATCTATCTTCATACGCCGAAGCATCTGATTGTTCTTGTAGAAGCTGTGCTGCTCTCCCTCCCGGCAGACCGTTATTTCCAAGTTCGTTATTATTCACTCTTGCATGATCTCCGAACCCACTCTCTTCCTCGCCCACTTGTGCTGCACTTGCAGCACCAGGTCCAGCAGATAATGTGGCTAGAATGTTCTCTCTCACTCTTGCGCCTCCGCGACGACTCAGATATGAGTATCGATGAAAGTTTGCCATTTCATTGGTTGTCTTTGCTGATGCAATTTGATATGACTGCATCAAGAACAGACCGATGCTCCATGTCAGTTGTAGTCCAATCCAGATGCAGAGTGCTAGCGTCCAAGTATCGTGTTGGAACCAGGCACATATTGTAGAAGGTAGTACACAGGGCTGGGACGGGATCGGTTGATAAGATGAGGAAGTTGTCGAAAGGTCTAAAAGGAGATGAGGTAGAAGTTAAGAGAATGGTCATGTGACAAAGAATTAATGACATGGATATTGATATTATCATAATGTACAGAACTCACATTCTTTACTAAGATACAGGAAACTTGATACCCCTGCAATCATCATAATAAGAAATATCATAAACGGTCGATGATTTCTTACTCCAATGCAGTTAAATATCCATGGACAATGACTATTACACATGCAAACAGAACAATAATCAATAACTACAACAAACGGGTATAGATGATAATTGATACATATAAGCTTACTGATCAAAGCGGGCCACACATCGATTACATATTTTGCAATGTTTGGATCTTAGGGGTTTCTTTATCTAAAAAGGGCGGACAACATACGGTTAATGTTTAGTGTAAAAAATAGCAATAACGATGACAATACTTACTAAGCATGTTGCACAAAAGTGCCTAATATCCAATGTCCCTTTATTCGCAAGTTCGATAACAAGCTAGGGTGAAATAAAACTGTTAATGGAGCGATAAATTCGCTTGCTTATTATCACAAGAGCAATCTGAGCACGTATTACTGTTTCTGCAATAATTAACAACTTTGCTCTTCCTCATACCTGTTTCTGCTCTTCTTGAGATTGAAATTTATGAATGAATCCTGGGTCTGCCAATACTGCTCTATAGAAACAATACATGGCTATAGTGAACGAAACAAAAAACACAATATTGATCGTCACCAGATACGAAGTTGCTAATAGTTGGCCAGAAATTAACAGGTTTTGTAACCGTCAGCCAATTAAAGATATATATCATTGTAATTATTCAGCTTCATACATCCCAGGTACCGAAGAGATACATCGGCAATTTTTATAACTTCTTTTAAAGGATACAAAACATAACCCTCGTAATCCACGTGAAGGCGACCCAGAACGCACTCGCTTGGAATACACTACTAAAAAAGGGCGTCCGTATCACCGCGTTTGGTAATTGTTTACGTATGAGGATTCGGGATATTATAAGGTATGTAGCAATGTATTCAAGGACTATCATTGGAAGTCCCAGAAACCAAGGAAAATGGACGAGAGTTTGGAGAGATATTGGGATGAGAAAGTAAGGAATGAAGTATATTATCGTATTCGTTGTTCGCTTTTTGGTTGATGGGGAGGGAAGAAGTGAAAAAGATAGGGAAATGCAAATGCATATGATGCATTAACGACAAGTTAGACACACATAGTGACAAGTATCCAATATTGTATATATCATTTGAAATAATTCAACACAAGAGTAACGACAATCTGTTACGACATCATCACTAAGGAACAAACCTCGTCAAATAACGTTACTCTGGGTTCACCGTCGCGTCTTCTTCCCGCCTCACGCAGAGCACTCCGCCAGACGTCCACTTTATTCAATTCCCTCGCCATATCCGCAGGTGTCTTTCCATTTTCCTCTTTTGCCTTGGCATCTGCACCTGCATCCAATAACTTTCTAATACAAAGTTTATTTCCCTTTACAACTGCCCAATGTAACGCAGTAAACTGCGTATTATCGATTTTTGATACTGATGCATTATGCTTTAATAAAATGTCAACGGTAGACGGATCACCTTGATAGGCAGCCCACATTAACGGTGTATGGTGAAGAGCGTCAGGCGTATCGATGTCGATTGATGTATATATAAGGAATAGGACAAGCATGCTGTTCATCGAATGAACGGAAAGGTGGAGGGCATTAAAGCCTTGTCCGTCGCGTAGTGCTGGGTCTGCACCGTGATTTAAGAGAAGAGTTACCGTTGCTAAATTGCCATTTCTGAAACATAAAAATAAAAAATTAATGAAAAGTATATATAATTTTAGTAAAACAATCATATAATGATATTACTCAAATATTGACCGGATAGCTTCCGATAATCACACCATTCCCAAGCTGAATACCCTTTATATAGTTTTCCATCCTCTTCCCCGACTCCAAACCCACCCACAAACCTTGCCGCCCAATGTAATGGTGTCGCCATCAAGTCGCTTCCAACCGCATTTACATCCGCGCCAGCATCAATCAAAAACCTCGCGACAACCACATGGTTAGATATTGCTGCCCAATGCAATGGTGTCGCTCCTTGCTGGTCACGATCGTTCACAGTAGCCTGACCGCTGTTCAAAAGATGAGCCACCGTGTGGAATTCGCCTTGAGCCGCCGCTTGATGAATTGTAGGGCCTTGGTAACAATAAAATAAAGTAAATTAAAATTAGATAGTAGGCATGAATAAAGTAGAATTAGAAGTCTAAAGAGGCAATCATGCCAATTGTTTATAGACCATATCGAAAAATGGAATTATCTAAATAATTGGCTAGCATACATGTACCTTTACCTAATTTATAATACTATTTTTAATAATACCCATCTCCCAGCTCTTTATAAACCGTAATGTTTAATTATCTTTTGCTCTTTTTTTTTCAGCAATGCTCCTTACCACTTTCTTCCTCGGTTTCATTTACATCAACCCAATCGCTTGCATTTTGGTCATTCTCCACCCCACCACCTGCTTTCGCAGCGGCAATCGCTGCATTGAGCTTTGCGGTAGACGAGCCGCCTTCCGCCACCTCAACTCCTACTTTCCCGATCGTAACTTCAACGGTGGGTTTAGCAGTAGACGGGATAAATCCTCTTCCCTTTGCTTTTGGAGGAGAACGCTGTTCGCTATCTACCGGCGGATTATTGTTGTCTGACTCATTCTCTTGTGCCTGAGAAGAGAACATCGATTTGAAAAGAGATACGTGTTTAAAAAATTGTAAAAACTTATGGATTAAGATATTTTACCAAATGTTAAAGTTCGTGCTACTCACTTTTAATCACGTGAAGTTAAACAAATGCGATTGCGCAAACATAGTTGCAGCATGGATACAGTATATTTGTTCCACACGATATTATTTATCTGAAAATACGCAAACCAGTAAATAAAATCAAAGTCGTAAAAACATTTACTTTGATATTAATATAGCTGCGTCAAAAATGAGAATTATTACGTAAGCTAAAAATTTGGATATAAAAATATAAAGTTGACGTTTTACTTGTCGGTTATCATTACACATTTCATATAGGCCTATCATTATTGCTATAAAAAATACGGTTTATATCAATTACAGCATTCTATTAAAGTATTTTAAAGAAAGTGCAAGGAGAAAAAATTGCTCTATACCTTTTAAATAAATGACACCAAAAATTCTCGAAGGAAAAGGGATAACTAGATAAAGAAAAGTCACTTATGCAAAGAACATTAATAATAACCAAGAAAAAAAAACAAAAGCTAGAAACATGAGAATTCTTTATCATTGATACTGTTCAAGTAAAAATAGCAATAGGGACGATAATTTTGGCTCACTGTGCCCAATTCATGACCAGCAAACCTGTATCATTATTGGAAAATAATAAACACACTCTGTGCGGGCTCAGACTATTTGGCAATTTATTTCGCGTATTGTATGGCACATAATAATATCTCCGTGCGTTATTCAAACTGCGCCTATTCAAGTTTTATACTAATACTGTAATTACACAGGTTTCAAACATCAATTATATGGTTGGCGCATGCGCACAACCAGTACACTATATGCTCTTAACCATTCTCATCAACCTTGATCAAAATGGTACCAAAAGACTATGATAAGTTTGCTGGCTGCCAAAATACAGAGAAGAAAATGCAATACTAATGATGGAGCATTTTCCCAAACATATTAGGCACTACTTCTCAACGACTCGTCTTGAAGTCTACGAGTACAAACTTCCTTATGCATATTACTTTTAATTATTTCTTATTATGCAGAATATTCGGAATATGACTACCTGATGTCTAATACCTGACTGCCGCGACCAATACTTAATCTTATTTTAAAGATGTAAAAATTTATATTCTCTCTCTTTCCCCTTCTTTAATTTTTGTATATACAACGCTCCCCATCGACTAATATTGTACATAATTTATCTCTCAGAATCATTCTTTCTGCTTTCTGAGAGCATAACTCTACCCAATTGGGGAACTTTATCACTTTTCATAGGTAATCGCTTGTACGATCTGTAAGATAATTGCAAATGTAGTAACAGCGCTTTTTTTGTTTCAGCGTTTGATTGGCTGATTACGCATTGAATTAAGGTAATTACAAATGTTGCTTTCCTAAAAATTAATTCGTGAGAAATTAAATTATATAGTAATAGCGACTGCAGTATTCGGAGAATACCTCCCTGTACATACTGATAATTGTTTCATACACTTGGTTATCGTTTTTGTTAGTTGTCGGCGAAATGAACTGTCGGTGAAATGATACGGACCCGTTTCAGCAACAATACGTAGCGATATCATAGCAAAAACAAGTCAACAATTTGACACCACCCTCACAGCCACGATAACACTTCTTGTTAAGGTAAAACCAATTTTTACCATTATTACAATATCAGGCTGTGCGAGTTTTCGTACAGTATATGTGAGCGAGTTATAAAACGCGACGGGCCTAACCTGAGGGTTCTCAGCATCGCTTCAGTGATTGGGCTCTTGTGTGACTAGCGCTGTAAACTACAATAATCATCTATATTATAGCTACAACGATTATCACGAATATTCCTGAACCCGACCATTCCTTCTAATGAGAAAGAGAAGTATACTCTATCGCTTAGTTCAACAATGTTATGACTGGCGTCGTAAGTAATTCATCGACACAAATATACTTTCATATAGGCTAAACGACGAATCCATTAGTAATTAACATTACTAATCATCATCGGAGTTAAACTCCGGTTCAGTATAATTATACTTTATACGATACGATATTAACCTTTCTTATTCACGTTAACACATCGGATTTACCATGTTCGTTAAGGAAGTTGTTAATGTTTGTCAACGAAGGAACATATAGTAAAAATGAGCCAACGAAAAAAACTTGTCCCCATTTTGAAACGAATAATAATATTAACGCAGCATCATTAATTCTCATTCATAACGAACGTAATAGCAAGAACGATTTAATTACTACATTAACTTCACGATGATTCTCAACCTTTCGGATAATTTTTAGAATACTTAACATTTCCTTTTACTATAAACAATCGGTTATAATTACCGAATTAGTCGCAATGCAATAATCGAGTCTCAAGACTTTTGTGTCAAACAAGATTTACTTATGTGTTAAATCCAATATTAATGTCGATCGTTAATTCAGCAAAGTCGATCAGTTGCCCACGGCATTTGATGCTAAGTATCTATTGCTCAAGGCTATTTAGCCGAGGAAAGCATGCTGAACAGCGGGTCGGATAGCGACCGTTTTATATATCTACCGCAGCTATTAAAATGCAATTGGATTTTGTGAAATGATCATCACATCGTACTACTCTCAGTTGATCAATTCGTCCCCTTGAATTCGTCCCCTTACAACGTATTGCCCGCTCTTTTCTAAAAACGCTAAGTTTGCTGGTCTTCTGTACTTAAACAATGTCCCGGTCCAGTGCTAGTATTGATGAATTATCAGATACTGATTATGATGCACTTGAGTTGAGAAACAGTGGGGCTGATTATTTGATGCTTGGTCAACATGAAACTGCTTTGGAGTATTTTACTGAATCTTTGGTGTATGAACCAAATAATACATTGGCAACTGGATTAGTGATAGATACTTATTGTATGCTTAATCATATCAATATATTAAATATGGAAGAACACCAAATTAGTTTTTTGAATCTTGATAAGAATAAAATTGGAGATATGAGAGCAACAGCCTTAGCAAAAGCTTTAGAATCAAATTTATCCTTGACTTCCTTGAACCTTCAGTTTAAAGATATTGGAGATACAGGAGCAGCAGCTTTAGCAAAAGCTTTGGAAACAAATTATTCCCTGACTTCATTGGATTTTAATCATAATCAGATTGGAGATACAGGAGCAACAGCCTTGGCAAAAGGTTTAGAATCAAATTTATCCTTGACTTTCTTGAATCTTGCATGGAATCAGATTGGAAATACAGGAACAACAGCTTTGGCAAAAGCTTTAGAATCAAATTCATTTTTGACTTCTTTGAATCTTGTTAATAATAGGATTGGGAATACAGGAGCAACAACTTTGGCAACAGCCTTAGAATCAAATTCATCCTTGACCTCTTTGAACCTTCAGTATAATGTAATTGGGGATACAGGAGCAACAGCTTTGGCAAAAGCTTTAGAATTAAATTCATCCTTGATTTCTTTGAATCTTGGTCCTAATCAGATTGCAGATACAGGAGCAATAGCTTTGGCAAAAGCTTTAGAATTAAATTCATCCTTGACTTCTTTGAATCTTGGTCATAATCAGATTGCAGATACAGGAGCAACAGCTTTGGCAAAAGCTTTAGAATCAAATTCATCCTTGACTTCTTTGAATCTTTATCATAACCAGATTGCAGATACAGGAGCAACAACTTTGGCAAAAGCTTTAGAATCAAATTTATCCTTGACTTCTTTGGATCTTGGTAGTAATCAGATTGATCATACAGGAGCAACAGCTTTAGCAAAAGCTTTAAAATCAAATTCATTCTTGACTTCTTTGAATCTTGGTCATAATCAAATTGCAGATACAGGAGCAACAGCCTTGGCAAAAGTTTTAAAATCAAATTCATTCTTGACTTCTTTGAACCTTGGTCATAATCAGATTACAGATAGAGGAGCAACAGCTTTGGCAAAAGCTTTAAAATTAAATTCATCCTTGACTTCTTTGAATCTTCAGTATAATGTAATTGGGGATACAGGAGCAACAGCTTTGGCAAAAGCTTTAAAATCAAATTCATTCTTGACTTCTTTGAATCTTGGTCATAATCACATTGAGCATACAGGAGCAACAGCCTTGGCAAAAGTTTTAAAATCAAATTCATCCTTGACTTCTTTGAACCTTGATCATAATCAGATTGCAGATACAGGAGCAACAGCCTTGGCAAAATTTTTAAAATCCCTCATTCCCTTGAATTTTCGGTCTAATATATATAATAATAATGTAATACCAGCTTTGGCAAAAGCTTTAAAATCAAATTCATTCTTGACTTCTTTGAATCTTGATCATAATCAGATTGGGGATACAGGAGTGACAGTTTTGGCAAAAGCTTTAAAATCAAATTCATTCTTGACTTTTTTGAATCTTGGTCATAATCAAATTGCAGATACAGGAGCAACAGCCTTGGCAAAAGCTTTGGAAACAAATTATTCCCTGACTTCTTTGGATCTTGGTAATAATCAGATCCAATATACAGGAGCAACAGCTTTGGCAAAAGCTTTAGAATCAAATTCATCCTTGACTTTTTTGAATCTTGATCATAATCAGATTGGGGATACAGGAGTAACAGCTTTGGCAAAAGCTTTAGAATCAAATTCATTCTTGACTTCTTTGAATCTTGCATGGAATCAGGTTGGGGGTACAGGAGCAACAGCTTTGGCAACAGCTTTGGCAAAAGCTTTAGAATCAAATTTATCCCTAATTTCTTTGAATCTTAAGCATAATGTAATTGGAGATACAGGAGCAACAGCTTTGGCAATGGCATTAGTATCAAATTCATCCTTGACTTCTTTGAATCTTGCATCAAATCAGGTTGGGGATACAGGAGTAACAACTTTGGCAAAAGCTTTAGAATTAAATTCATCCTTGACTTCTTTGAATCTTGGTCATAATCAGTTTACAGATACAGGAGTAACAGCTTTGGCAAAAGCTTTAGAATCAAATGCATTCTTGACTTCTTTGAATCTTCAGTATAATATA